AAGGAAATCTGAAAAATGATACTTCCAAACTACTGTAGATGGAAGTATCATTTTTCAGATTTCCTTAGATTTTTTAAACATTTCAAAACTTCCCAATAAACGGCGCTAAAAACTTTAGCATCAGGCTCTTCTTTCCTCTTCTCTTAATATGTCTTAATTTTCTCCCGATTGATCCTTCCTTCCCTCCCATTCCTGCCCAGCTCCATCTCCGACACATTTCAGTCATGCTGATACTTCCTTCCCCTTCATCTCAGCAGTGCACAGAGGAGACCGTCAGGGTCTCCCCTTTCACCCGCTGTTTTGCTTCCATATTTCTGTCCTGACAGCTGCTCTCAGCGGCGCCTGTCGCTCTCATCACCGGACCCTCCATCTATCACTCTGAAACCCTTCCAGTTAAGTCGTTTGTTTTAAAAACTGCTTGTTGTCTCCCCTGCAACATTTATCGATTGCTTTGATGTTTAAAGCTGCAACATTGCCCTGAGGAAAAAAAAAGGGTCTGCTCCATGGGTTCAGTGGCTCTCTCAGTAGCAGCAGTGATTTACAGTGTCCCCCTGTAAACGGCTTCAGCCTAAAGGGGATTCACAGTCCAGCGCCAGAGTTTAACCTTTCCAGGCCTTAGTCAATAATCTGTGTGGAGATAAATCACGGTGTGTCCTCAGCTGGTGGCGACTGATTCTTGGAACCCGATCAGACTGGATGAGGATCCTTGAAGCGTCATGCTGCTGACTTTAACAGTTTTAGTTCAGTTTGGCTAAACACTCTGAGCACAGATGTTCAGGATCCAGGTTATATCTTCATCAATGAAGGTTTGGGTTGATGTCGTTTCTGTGGAGACGTTCTCTATCTGATGGTGGGTCATTCTTTACCATCCATTCCTGTAGTTTTTAATCCACTGAGGTTTGCCCCCTCAGTTTAACATGCACCCCACTGTCAGGCTAGTCACATTCACTTCCTTTGGTTTAGTTTGTGGTGTTTTTCCCCTGATTAAACGGAACATCTTGAAGGTATGAGCCGTCAGTCCAATCAGGTCGGGTTAGATTCTCCTGCTGCGTTTGCTTGACCAAATACGGTCTCTTTCTGCTCCATGATGGTATTGGCTGGTTGCCTAACCCGAGGCTTTAAAATTGTAGCTCAAACCCTCTGCTGATGTCACGGCAAACTCGTCAATTCGTTTTATACAGGCTGTGGCTGAAATGCAAAAACGGCTGATCGCTCATTCTGCAGCTGCAGGAGCAGAGCCTTTTGTCCACCTTTGCAGCGTTTGACCTTTAATAAAGATTCATGCATTAATGCATGTTGAAATTGGCCACTCCTGGAGTGGATCCAAGCACCGTAACATGTTTAAACCATGGGGTAATATTTGCCCTCCTAAGAATCCGTCCCTTCTTGTAAGCACAGAGCACAGCGTATGGAATAAAGGGAACCATATGGTGGGCCATCTGGCAGGTAAAACTGATTTCTTACCCTCATAAATGTTTCTTTGTTGCTCAAAGAGCCGCTTTGATTTCCATCTTTGAAACTGAATGACATGACTGGTAAAACAAAACCTCCTCTTTACTATTTACATCATCAATGGCCTCAGATCCTTCCAGTGACTTGTGATTGGCTGTTGTAGAATAGTTTTTAGAGGGGCAGGTGAATGAATTTTAGAATGTGTTTGTTCATGGAAGGCATGGAGGAATGTGTGAGAATAGTTTCCATCTGAGAGCGGAAAGTGGATACGGCTCTGCTCTTCAGACCCGTGGTGTTGTGGTTTCAAACCTGTGAGGACAATGATCACTTTGTTTATCAGGGTTACTCATTTCTCCTAAAAAGGCCAGAGTTGAGGGGGTGGAAGGACGGCATCAGCAGAGGGAGGGGTGGGTCACAGGCTGCCGGCCGCATGTCTGCCTCTGTTGTGGTCTGGCTGGCTAGTAACTGGTTGGAAACGAGGTGGAAGCTGATTCCTCGCTCCAAAATTGACTTAACACTCGGAAAGATGTGGGGACAGATTGATGAGGCGGGCTTCCTTCTAAACAGAGCCGGCATGAATAACGGATCAGAACAAAACGACCTTGGTGTGACCTCTGTGTGGAAACAGCTTCAGGAGGAATGTAAGCAGCAGCATGACTGCCTCCAATCCTGCAGCCTCATCTTCATCCTGCCTGGATCTGGCACCAAGATGTCAGCCACACAGTCTCCATTAGGGACATTTTGCAAATATGTCCTCATATTAACCCTTTACCACATAAACCCAGCTTGGGGCTGATTTACTTTAGTTCTCGAGTCAGTTTCACTACCCGATCCGTCCTGGAAGTGCGATCCATCCTGTGCGTGCGCCATCAGCTCATGGTGCATGCGCATCCAGAACTGATGGCCCTCAATTTTTTGTTAAAAAGACCTTTATGTTTTTCCCTTCTCAAAAATAGTTTGTGTTTAAAGTGTTAAAGGTTAAAAATGTAATTCGTGAGAAAATAAATGCTAATCCTTTCTGTTTTATCAGTCATCTGGATCCTGCTCTACTGCCAAGAGCTAACTTTTTCAGCTTTGGATTTAAACATAAATCTAGTCTTTTTGA